GATGCCTTGGCCTTGGCCACCGCCTTCGCTTTTGCCCTCCCCTTTGCTTTGGCCTTCGGGGAGGCCTTCGACTTTGGCGAAGTCTTCGCCACAGCCTTCCTCTTCGGCTTGAGGCTCCGCTTCGGCTCATCGTCGTCCCCCGCCGGCACATCGTCAGGGTCCTCCTCGTTCTGGGATCCACGTCCGACTTTCGACGAACGCTTCAACATTCGCTGGCGGCGCTTTACCGGCGAAGTCATAGAGGCGCTGTGCTTCAAAGCCCGTTTTCCCTTGCGTCCCGGTCCTGGTCCAGCCTTCAATCGGCTCTTCAGCCGAAACTGATCCCGCTTGGTCAGAGGTGCCACATCCACCTGAGGGAACCAGGAAAGATAAACTTCCATAGCTACCAATTAAGTATTAGTTCGAGCTGGGGAGCTAGCTTTATTGGGCCTAAGATAGGTTGCTCTTCTTTGGTTGGCTGCGAAAGATAAGAATGACTTAGAATGTATGTATGTATGTATGTATGTATGTATGTATGTATGTGTGTGTGTATGTATGTGTGTGTGTATGTGTGTATGTGTTTGTGTATATGTGTGGGGCGAAAGAAACTTCGGGAATCCCCAAAAATAAGTCTCGTATCAGAACGTCGTGTAACGAAGCTCCAAGCAAGCTTTAACAAATCAACCAATAAATCCTTCAATAAATCCCTGACCTCTTCATTGCTCTCCGTAAACGGCTCCGTTGCAGGAGCAACTTCCTTGGAGATGGAGTCGGTGCTGCCAGGCACTTCTCCCGGGGGAGCCTCGAGGATCGGGGCTTCCATGATGTCCCAGGGCTGCGTCTCGTCTGAGTAGCCACCAGCCGTGCTGATGGAAGAGGGTCCTTTGCGGATAGATTCAGAGATAGCTTCTATCGTGCTGCGGGGTCTGGTTTCATGAGATTGCTAATGCAGGCAGAACTCCCGAGGTCTCACCGCCCTTGTCCATGCTGGGGTCTCTTGGGGTCGGAGGCGGCGAAGGAGTCCTAATTTCAGACAATCAAGAAGCAAGATCAAGTCGTACGATACCACATGCAGCTGCCATCATTCTGTATTTACTCGAAGACGAGGATCGTAGATGCCTGAGCAATCTTTTGCTTCAACAAAGCCACCCTGGCCTGAATCGTAG